AGGAGAGTAATAATATAAAAAAAAAGACCGCGAAATATAAAGATAAAAAATACAGGAGGCAAAGATTAAAATTAAATAAATAAATAATAATAGTACACGAAATCTTGTGGAATAATGTATTAAAAGTGAGGTTAGGAAATTAATTATGTGGGATACGACACGCGGTATTGAAATGTGATAACTTTTTCAGTAATGAGAAATTGTCAATCTTTCTCGAGAGACGCTATAGGATATCTTTTATAGGAAAAACGAATCACGTGGGAATTAACTAGTTGTAATTGTTAAAAAAAACTATTTTTTCAAAAGATTATAAGCCGACAGACTTCCTAACCTCAAAAACCTACTATATACTAAATTTCACTTCTGTTGTGCACACTGAGATATATATATATATATTGTTCTATAAAAGTGAGATATATTGTCGTTCTACGAAATTAAAACACAGATAAAATTTCACTGATTACCGAGCAATCTCACGTTCTGTGTGAGTCACAAAATTATTGAAAATATACTTTCTGCGGTTCATTACAAAACCGGACATGACAGATGATTTTTTGAACGCAACACTCGGTAATTTTTCGAATATTAATCGATTAGACAATTTCCAGTGGTTTATAAATTTCACGATTTTTTTTTTAATTTTTTAATAGCATAGTTATATTAGAAAAATTAAGTGAAATCTCGGAAAAAAATATATAAGTTAAATTTTAGTATAGACCTTTATTTTTACATAAGATTAAAGAGGAAAAACAGTTTACTATTGTACAGTGCTAAGAAAAATAATTAAACAAATAGGATTCAAATTCTTCTGCAATACATCACTTAAATTATTTTCACCATATAAATTCAACATAATACAAATTGTTTAAAAAGTCCTACTAGAATATTTAACATTAACATTTTTAGAACTTCATTTTTTAAAAACATATTTTTCATTTATTGATATCTATATTTTGATTAATCAAATTGCTTTAAAATTTGTTACAGTTTGAAGTTCTAATAAAAAATTGGCTACTCTATTATACAACAATCTAATACACAATAATACAACCGATATAAAAGATTCTTTGGAAAAGCACAATAGGAAATAGATAAATATTATCCAATATTTTATTATCTAATATTTCATAAAAGCACATATTTGTTTACATGCTAATACTGCAACTTTCATCTGCAATCTGTTTAAGGAAAATTCACAGAACAGGTAGGAGATATTTAATAGAAAAGCAATCCTATATCTGTTTTACATTTATTCTTTTCAATAATATAAAATTATGTTAATAACACGAGAGATGCGTATGTTACAATATTTCACAATGTAACATGTCTTCGATATAATTGTGGGAAGATTGAGGGACTCACGTTTAGTCTTACTCACATTTACACAAATTGTATCAAACTAATTCCGATATGCTATTATATATGGAAATTAATACGAGTTGCATTTTCGTAAGCAGTGGCGGATTTAAAATATTCCTGCAAAATATTTCTTAAAAAGAATTATTTGTCAGATATGTAACAGATATTTATTATTTATTAATAACATAAGAAATCTGTCTAGATCACAAACTAACTTTTAGAATTTATATAAATAAAATATGCAAACAAATCTTATTCCGATTGATGTTGTCACACTTTTAAAATTGATAAGAAAAAAACTGAAAACACTAGTTCAAAAAATAACATACTAAACAGAAATTTATATACAAAGAACCTCTCGATATCTTCCTGAAACATGAACTTCAGTATTACGAAATCCGCCACTGAAGTCAAAATTCTTAGGATTATTTTGGCGGAGATTCAACCTCACGTTATCCGCTTCCAAAATAAAAAAAAATCGAAGACTTCGCTTGAAAAAAACAATCGCGCGCATTCTGTTATTCAACCATTGTAAATTATATATATATATATATATATATATATAATATATATATTATATATATATATATATATATATATATACGTAGTAATAATAGT